TGTGTGTTTTAATATGGAACGCTTCACGAATTTGCGTGTCATCCTTGTGCAGGGGCCATGCTAATCTTCTCTGTATCGTTCCAGTTTTAGTATATGTGCTGCCAAGCAAGCACTCTTGTGTGTGTTTTTTAAACTTATCTTTCATTATATAGAATTCTTCAATTTGTTATGAGGTTAAGTTTATTGCTCTTGTTCTTTACTCAGGCTTCTAGATTTTGTGACATTTTTAGCAAGGGTTTCCCAACTTTAAAATTAGAAAATATTTTTCCATATTTTCTTTTAATACTTACTTAGGTTTTTGGGGTTTTTTAGTTAGTTAGTTTGTTTATATAGGTATTTAATATATCTGGACTTAATTTTATAGTGTGAGATAAGAGTCTAACCTTTTTTCACAAATGGAATTGTCCCAAGGCCATTAACTGAATAGGCTATTTTTCCACTAATTTGAAATGGGATGTGAACCTTTTCTGTTGTGTTGTTAGTCTTTACCTGAGGATATTTTTTCCAATGATTTTTAGAACGATTGGAATGGGGCGGTGGGGAGAAACATCAATGTGAGAGACACACGTGGATTGGTTGCCTCCTGCACATACCCCAACTGGGGCCGGGGAATCGAACCTGCGGCCCAGGTATGTACCCTTGACTAGGAATCAATCCCATGACTCTTCTGTATGTGGGCCGACGCTCTAACCACTGAGAAACACAATCCAGGGCCGGATGTGAACCTTTTAATGGATTTTCGTACCTAGTGGAAAATTGCTTTCTTAAAAAAGGATGAACTAGTTTATACAAACTGACATTGACAATGTGTATCTATCCCCGGTTCACTGCAACCTTGTAAATATTGATGTGTTTGTTTTGTTGGTTGTAAGCTAATTTAAATTAATTTTTGTTTATATTAGTACCTACTTATTTTCATTTTTAATTGATGTAAACGATGGTGTATAGCGTATTTCATTGAATAGAACCAGTGCTAAAACACCTGGAACTGTAGGAAGCCTTTGAAATGAATAGAAGTCTGACAAGGGATGGTTCGCACCCGACCCTTCATTTTCTTCCATCTCCTCTCCCATGCTCCTCATAGGATCTTCTGCAGGAGAGCTGGTCCTCGTTACAGCCAGGGTGACCACGGAAAGGACCCCAGGAATCTGCCTGTATTTTAGTGCTGTCCCAGGACTCCTGCCCTCCAGCCAGCCACCCATCTCCTGCTCAGAGGAAGGAGTAGGAAATGCCACCCTGAGCCCTAGGATGGCTGAGGACTGTGTCCGGGTCTGGAGCCAGGAAGGCCTTGCGCTCACCAAACTGCTCACCTCGGTAAGAGCTTCAGGTTGTCAGGGTTTCATAGACTTCCATGCTGCATGCTGTATCTTGAAGGCAATTTTTTTTAAGGGGGGAGGGGGGGCGGAGAGAGAGAGAGAGAGGGAGAGAGATACGTCAATGTGAGAGAGGTACATAGATTGGTTGCCTCCTGTACAGGCCCCAATCAGGATCAAACTTGAACCTGCGATCTTCTGGTGCAAGGGAGGATGCTCCAACCAACTGAGCCACACCGGCCAGGGCTTGAAGGCAATTTTACCCAGTAGATAAAACATAGGCTTTGTAATACTGACTGGGAGGCTGTGACCTTGAACAAGCACCTGAGTCTCTCTGAGCCTCAGCTTCCTCATCTGTAAAATGGAAAGCATGATACTGTCTCCTCATTCCAACAAATAAATGAGAATGAATGTAAAGTACTTAGTACAATGTCTGGTACATAATAGAAATTTTATAAATGGCAGCTATTACTATTAATTACGCCTTTAAATAACCAAAAAACATGACCTCTCCCTCAAAGGAATTCAGAAGCTGGACTAAGAGGCAGAATAAACTAATTGTTAGCATAGAGATATGAGCAAAGTACTATTCAAACAGAGCAAGGAGCAATTGACTCTAACTTGAACATTTTCAGAGAATGTTTCACGGAGATGGTGGCATTTAAGCAAGGGAATTGTGCACAGTAGTTTCTAACAGAGTGCTTTCAGGTTCATTATCTCATTTTATTTTTATTTTTTTAAACATATTTTATTGATTTCTTACAGAGAGGAAGGAGAGGGATAGAGAGTTAGAAACATCGATGAGAGAGAAACATCGATCAGTTGCCTCCTGCACACCCCCTACTAGGTATGTGCCCACAACCAAGGTACATGCCCTTGACCGGAATCGAACCTGGAACCCTTCAGTCCTCAGGCCACTGAGCCAAACCGGTTAGGGCTAGATTCATTATCTCATTTTAAATAACCTTTTGAGATAGCTGTTATGATCCCATTTTACAGATGAGGAAACAGGTTCAGACAGAGGGAATGAATTGCCCAAGACCACACAACTACTTAAGTGGCAGATGCAGGATTTCAACCTAGGCTTTCCGACTCTAAGGCCCAGGCTTGTTCTGCCCTGTCAGAATGATTGATCCCTGAAGAATGAGGAATATTAGGGCAGATAATGCACTAGAGGGGGTTCAAGAAAAAGGAAATACATTCCAGGCATAAGGGACCAGCATGAGCACAGGCCTAGAGACTGAAAAGTGATGAGGGACTGAGGAATGACTTATGGGAAGAGGCAGGAGAGATGCAGGAGCCTGACCATGAGGCACTGCAAGGTTAGGCTAAAATGCTGTGCCCTGACACTGCAGGCCATGGGGCCAGTGGTGCTGGATGGAAGAGACTGGCCGAGTGGAGGAGAGAGCACAGTTAGGAGGCTGCTGCATACTCTTCCCTCACATTTGCAAACACCCTGGTGAGGAGCATCACCTGGGAGCTTGGAATCAGAGATCTTGGTTTCCAGACCGGGCCCTGCTTGCATGTTTTTAAGATGTGGATAATAGTGAACTCTCAGAGAGTCATTATTAGGAGGTTCAATGCTGGGCAAGAAGGCAGTTTGTAGACCATGGAGACAATTAGCTTGTATAGAAATAACATGTCCCTTCTAGTTGCTCCCTGGATGTGGAGAGCCCTTTCCTCCGTGGAGGCTTCTCGCCATAGCCTCGGGCTGGGGGTAAGATGTCTTCCTAAGGGAAGATTCTCTATCTTCCCTCTGTCTCATTCATTTCTCCCTCCCTCCCTGTGCCCACCCCTAGGAGGAGCTGGCCCTGTGTGGCTCCAGGCTGCTGGTTTTGGGCTCCTTCCTGCTTCTCTTCTGTGGCCTTCTTTGCTTTTTTACTGCTGTGTGCTTCCACCCTCGTCGAGAGTCCTACTGGTCTAGAACCCGGCTCTGAGAGCACTGGTCTGGTTCCTGTCTTGTTCTCAGGTAAGGTTCTTTGCCCCAGTCCTGTGAGAACAGGGGATGGGGTGGGAGTGGGAATTGTAACTGACAGAGTCATTCCTAAACAATATGATTTGGTTTTAGTTATTTTTGAACTTTATATAGATAGAATCATACATATTCTTTTGTGACTAACTTCTTTCCATTGACATTTATTTGCCCCAGTCCTGTGAGAACAGGGGATGGGGTGGGAATGGGAATTGTAACTGACAGAGTTATTCCTAAACAATATGATTTGGTTTTACTTATTTTTGAACTTCATATAGATGGAATCATACATATTCTTTTGTGACTTCTTTCCATTAACATTTTGATATTAAGATTCACCCATAGATCTAGTTCACATCCAAGAAGCTTTTTGGTAACAATGGTGAATTAAGAGGGTTCAGATTTGATGATGTGTCCTGGATATGAATAATGTTTGTCTTGCTTTTGCCCTGAAATTCTGATATCCAGTTTTATGACTCAAATTTTGTAAAAGTCATCTTGAACAGCTCAAAAGAATTGATTGATGATGCCTGTTACTAGGCACATACCATGTGCCCCAGCACTTTACATGCACTTTCTCTTCTCCATTAGCCATCACTGCCTTTAGAGAAAGTTGATTCTGCTAACAGAATCTTTCGAGGGACACAAAAGCAGCGGGGAGTGGGAAACATATTGGCTAACTAGTTTGTGTATCAGCTCATTGAGGAAGAAAAATGTTTCTGTAAAATATTCTCACCTTTAGATGGTTCTCATTCAATTTGAGAGTCATATATTCTGCATCCAGTTCTTAAATTGTTCTCAGCTTCAGCTGGCTGCTGTGCCTTAGGACATAACCGTGGGAATAGTAGAAACAGCTTAAGCCCAGGGAAGGGCCAGAGGAACTGAACATTCAAGATCAACTTTGCTTATTTTTTAAAAATATATTTCTTTATTGATTTCAGAGAGGAAGGGAGAGAGGGAGAGAGATAGAAACATCAATGATGAGAGAGAACCATTAATCAGCTGCCTCCTCTACGCCCCCTACTGGGGATCGAGCCTGCAACCTGGGCATGTGCCCTTGGCCGGAATCGAACCCGGGACCCTTCAGTCCGCAGGCCGACGCTCTATCCACTGATTTTAGAAACATCGATCAGCTGCCTCCTGCACACCTCCCACTGGGGATGTGCCCACAACCAAGGTACATGCCCCCAACCGGAATCGAACCTGGGACCCTTCAGTCCGCAGGCCGACGCTCTATCCACTGAGCCAAACTGGCTAGGGCACAACTTTGCTTATTTTGCTTAGGGCTGTGCCTGACTGCTTCAGCCACCTACTTGAGACAGGAAATGAGGCACCGCGATGCCAGGCTAAGATGCTATGACTTGACGCTTGCAGGCCATGGGCCACTGGTGCTGAGAGGAAGAGACTGGCTGAGTGGAGGAGACAGGCCTTCCTTAGATCTGAGCAGACGGGAAAAGGGATACTTCCTGGGGTCCTGAGGCCACCCCAGTTGGGAGGAGGGCTTGTCCCTGTCTCTAGTTGTCACTTCCTCTGTTCTTCCCTCAATTTCTGCAGCAATTCCAGAGCTTCCCCCAAGGGCTCTCTCACCTGCTCTGTTTTTTTATTTTCTTTCTCTCCAGGTGTGAATCAACTTCTTGGGCCTTGGTTCTGAGTTGGAAGAGATGTTACAGAAAGTGGAGAGCAAAAATGTGGGGAGAAATAAATGGATTTTTTTTTTTCCCCCAATGCTGCCCAGTGTGTTTATTGGGAATTAGATGAGGTGGGAATTTTAAGAGTAGGTTGGTTTGGGAGGTTCAGGGGATTTTTCCTTGTTGATTCTTAGTTTAGGATACAGGTTGTCCTAGGGCAGTGATGGCGAACCTATGACATGCGTGTCAGAGGTGACACGCGAACTCATTATTTTGGTTGATTTTTCTTTGTTAAATGGCATTTAAATATATAAAAGAAATATCAAAAATATAAATCTTTGTTTTACTATGGTTGCAAATATCAAAAAATTTCTATATGTGACACGGCACCAGAGTTAAGTTAGGGTTTTTCAAAATGCTGACACGCCGAGCTCAAAAGGTTCACCATCACTGTCCTAGGGCATGGGTTACTGCAGCTCTCCCCAGGGTTGTACCTTGGCTTTGGAAAACACCTGGTTTTGATCCAGCTCTGCCACCTTGTGCCTATGAAATAATTTCAGCTAGTTGCGAGAGTCAGGTGGGTTTAGTCATGTAAAAGGCCTCAGGTTGCTAAAAGGATGTGACAGATTACCCAGCAAAGATTCCTCGAACTTGGTAGCCCAAGGCCAGGCTGTCCGGTTACTAAGCTGAGCAGCCCATATTCCCGCCTTTTCCGCGGCACACACCAACCTTCCTTCACTCCTCCCAGGATCTACCCTGCGCGCAGGCGCGATCACATCCTTTTCCTTCCGCCCGCGCCCCCTCAAAGCTTGCCCTAGCAACAAGCTCGGGCTCCCCGCTAAGGTGGGGCGAACGCATGCGCCGCAGCCCCCTCCACCGCCAGTTGTCGGAAAGCGCGCTGGACTCCGCCCTCCCCAAGCCTAGCCCCTCTCCCCGCCTCCCACCCGGGTCCGCGTGGCGGGGCGCGTGCGCACTCTGGCTCCCTAGC